ACGGTCCTGAACCGTCCTAACGGTCCAATGTACTTACCCGATCGCCGTCGTTCCCCCGGTGGCGATCGGTGTTGTTCCCGTTGTGGGGAGACTGCCTGCAGCCCAGACAGTCTCCCCATGGCGGATTAGGACCCCTGGGGCCATGTGATCGCTCAACAGACTGATCACATGGTCACAATAGGTGTCCATGTGTCTGCCTGCAGGGGGACTGTCTGTGCTGACAGGCAGTCTCCCTGCTAGTGTAAAATAAAAAAATAAAAAATTCAAGTTAAAGTTAATAAAAATAATAAATATATATATATATATATATATATATATATATATATATATATATATATTCATACTAAAATACAAATAATAAGTAATTAAATAAAAACATGTAAAAATAATAAAAATATATCTATATGAAATTTTATTCTGGCTGTATTTTGATAGTTATATATATCAAAATACACTTAGAATGACATTGTATATATATCTATGTATATAAAAATAATATGAAATACATATGTCCATATACAAAATTACATAAATAATTATATAAAAATATACATGTAGACTTTAAATATATAAATATGCATATATATTTAAATTCTACGTGCGTATTTATGTAATATTTTTACATAATTAAGTAATTTTATTGATTGCAATTTGAGGGACCTGCCTGCCAACCCAGGTAGAAAGTCCAGAGAATTTAATTTGCTAGCACCCTAAACCCTGTACATGGGGGGTACTGTTTTACTCGTGAGACTTCGCTGAACACAAATATTAGTGATTAAAAACAGTAAAACATATCACAGCGATGATATTGTCAGTGAAAGTGACTTTTTTTGCATTTTTCCACACACAAACAGCACTTTTACTGATGATATAATTGTTGTGATACGTTTTCCTGTTTTGAAACACTAATATTTGTGTTCGGCAAAGTCTCCCGAGTATAACAGTATCCACCATGCACAGGTTTTATAGCATTTTTGAAAGATGCAGGGTCAAAAAAATATGTACATGTGGGGTGTTATTCAGAGATTTATGACAGATAATAGTGTTGCAATGTCACTATTGATACATTTTTAAAATGTATGTTTTGAAACCGCAATATCCTACTTGTACCTACAGCCCTATAACTTGCAAAAAAAAAACGCATGTAAACACTGGGTATTTTTAACCCCTTAAGGACGGAGCCAAATGTACACGTTGTGAACGAAACAAAACCTGGCATTTGCGCTACATGTCTGTCCAACCGTAATTCACCTATTTCATATTATTATATATAATTTTATTCAGGGGAAACAGGGCTTTCATTTAATATCAAATATTTAGATGTGAAACATAATGTAATATGAAAAAAATGGGAGAAAATAAGATTTTTTTTTATTTTTTTTGTTCTACATGACATTTTAACTGTCAATGTCATAATACTGTTTGCTTTTACTGCAATAAAATACACATATTTTTATTCAGCAAAGTCTCACGTGTAAAACAGTACCCCCTATGTACAGGCTTTATGGCGTTTTGGGAAGTTACAGGGTCAAATATAGCACGTTACATTTGAAATTGAAATTCGCCAGATTGGTTACGTTGCCTTTGGGACTTTATAGTAGCCAGGAATGAAATTTACACCCATAATGGCATACCATTTGCAATAGTAGACAACCCAAGGTATTGCAAATGGGGTATGTCCAGTCTTTTTTAGTAGCCATTTGGTCACAAACACTGGCCAAAGTTAGCGTTAGTATTTGTTTGTGTGTGAAAAATGCAAAAAACGCCAATTTTGGCCAGTGTTTGTGACTAAGTGGCTACTAAAAAGACTGGACATACCCCAAATTCAACAACAGGTTTAATCTACAATACAATAGTACCTTTCATCATAAGTAATTTCATTCTCGAGACTACCATAAGTCCAAGGCACATGGCATAATAAATTTTAATGTGAGAAAAATGAAGCATAAACCTTATATTTCCGCTGTAACTTTTGAGAAAAACACCATAAAACCTGTACTGATATACTCAGGGGAGCTTTGCTATTCTAAATATTGTGTTTAAAACAGTAAAAATTATCACAGCAATAATATTGCGTCCGTGTAAGTGCTGTTTGTGCGTGAAAATGCAAAAAACGTCACTTTTACTGGCGATGTCATCGTTGTAATACATTTTACTGTTTTGAAACACTAATATTTGTGTTCAGCGAAGTCTCCCGAGTAGAACAGTGCCCCCCATGTACAGGTTTTATGGGGTCTTGGAAAGTTATAGGGTTAAATATAGTGCTAGCCAGTTAAATTCCCTCTACTTTCGGCATGGGTTGTCATGCAGGTCCCGCTAATTGTAATAATTAAGATACCTAATTATGTAGAATAATATATATATATATATATATATACACATACACACACACACATACATATATACATACATACATACACACACATATGTGAATCTATATGTGTATATCTATATAATTTTTGTAAAAATATATATGTATTAAGGCAGTTTTGCCTGTATTTGTGGGAGGGGCTTAAATTAATTCACTCCCCTATATAAGGGACACCCCTTACCTGACTCATATCGCTTGAGGTCGGCATCAGAATGATTTCCACTTCCGGGTCATCCAGACGCCATTTTACCTGATTACTCCATGAGGTTTTCTAAGCAGAGCTGTGTCAGGAATCCAGCCACAGGCTTTTCCGGCCCACCACCTTCTTTCTTCAATCTATCGTTGTGGATGGTGTCCAAGTGACTCACAAACCGTAAGTTGACCTACCCGTTACGCCAGGCATCAGTCCCACGGCACCATGCAAGGGTCAGGTCCTCACTTTACGGCTGCATTTTGTCTATGTCTGTCCTAAAACCATTTCATGTTCATGCATATCATTCGTTTAAACCCCCTACCGGTCTTTGGGTGTACTACAGGCTTCTTAGACATTATCGCATTTCATGTACAAACCAATAAACCACTGCATTTCACCTACACACTGACCCCTACCGGTCATTCGGTGTACTACAGGCTTCTCAGACATTATTGCATTTCATGTACAAACCAACGAACCACCGCATTTTTCACCTACACACTGAGCCCTATTGGTCATTCGGTGTACTACAGGCTTCTTAGACATTATTGCTTTTCGTGTACAAACCAACAAACCACTGCATTTTTCACCTACACACTGACCCCTATCAGTCATTCGGTGTACTACAGGCTTCTTAGACATTATTGCTTTTCGTGTACAAAACAAACCACTGCGTTTTTACCTACACACAGACACCTACCGGTCATTCAGTGTACTACAGGCTTCTCAGACATTATTGCATTTCATGTACAAACCAACGAACCACGGCATTTTCGCCTACATGCTGACCCCTACCGGTCAATCGGTATACTACAGTCTTCTCAGACTTTATTTTACTTCATAAGCAAACAAACTAACTACAGCATTTTCGCTTTTATACTGACTCCTATCTGTCATACGGTAGGATTAAGCCCTTAGGGATACATGACATGTGTGACATGTCATGATTCCCTTTTATTCCAGAAGTTTGGTCCTTAAGGGGTTAAAGGGTATTTTTACCATACAATCAGCATTTATGACCGCTACTGGTCAACAGCAAAACTGTCTTCACATGTCATATACAATTTACCAGCCAATATAAATTACACAAATTCCCTTTTATTCCAGAAGTTTGGTCCTGAAGGGGTTAAACATAACCATAAACCATAAATGAAACTCCAGCACGGGCTCAAATTCAGGTTTAATTCACAATAATTTACATTTCATATCAAGACCAACAGTGGTTCTATCAACACTGCCACCTACAGGTCTGTCAAGTACATTGACAATTTTCATGGGGTTTTACAAACACCAAAACACTTACACCTATGGGTCAACAGACAAACAACATTTCACATACCAATCAGTATCCAACTACACTGCCACCTATAGGGCACTCGGCAGATCTCCAGTGCACTTGCCTTTTGCAACACCATGTTCACTGACCCCTACCATTCAATAAGACATACAACAATTCACATAGCAATCACTATATCAAACATCTGGTATAAATACATATATTATTACACAGTAGCAGACGCGTCTGTATATACGTAACTGGTAATATAGTTCACATACATTTTTCACAGCATGCTGCTCACGCAACAGACTTTCCCCTAGCAAGGGGACATACAACATACAAGGTGGGGACAGACCACATTTTCACTTGTACATACAGCACTTAATGGGTTAAGATTGATACATATTTAACCAGTATGGCTACGATGTTTAATATTTACACATCATGGCACTTTACTTTTCAGTATGGCTACGATGTTTAATATTTACACATCATGGCACTTTACTTTTCACATATACTGTATGTATTAAGATAAGCTTGGTCTATGCCATATTTCCTTATGCCATACGGTTTTATCCATTCAGGTTACAGTTACTACTAAAAAACCTATACGGATTGTCAGGTTCAATACCATACTACCAGGTACATACACCTGCTCACGTAGTTATCCATCTCTTACCTTCCCTGGAATAGTAATAGTGTACTGGCAATTAGGGTTCTAGGGCCCAATAGGTATTACCCCTTTTTTCTCTGCATTATGCTTCGGTTAGTGGTCCCGCGAGGCCAACACCCCGCCTCACACTCGGAGGCATACACCCCTCGGGCCACTCGTGAGCTAGCCGCCTCGCATTGTATCATAGAGAGGGCCTCACCTGTCACTCCCCTTCCTATTTTCTGGTTACTGTCACAGAGAGGCCAACATCCTGCCACAACGTTCGGTGGCCACACAAAATCCCCTCGCGCCAAGCATAGATAGAACCTCTCAAGCCACTTGGCAACTAGCAGGGCCTCACCAGTCACCAAAAAACACCAAGCCTAATCGTTTCGCCTTACGGCTTAGCTAGCAAGCCAGTACAAGAACCCTGGGTACAAATAATTGCAATCTTTATTGTTATTTAAGTATTTCTCCAAAAGATGGTGAAGAATCACCTCTTCCTAGCACCCCGGCTAGAATTGATACACCTTCAAGCAGAGGAGATGTTGCTAGTCCAGCAGCAATCAGATCCTGGATGATCCCACACATTACCACCGACCTAAGGAGGTGACAAATCCCCTACCCTGCTACAGCAAGGAAAGCAGTTATTCAAACTCCTCCATACATCAACGGACAACACGGAGGCAGGGGAAGGCCCAGCTACATCAACTCAGGTGACACCCAGGCTATGCTAGCCTCACTCATAAACTCATGAGCCAAAAAAATTTATGACAGACTGGCAATCTCGAGTTGGTCACCACAGCCCTCACAAGGCTGGGCCTCACGTTACTGTACAACCAGCACCAACCGAAACTCGGTTACCTGGTACAATCAATTCTTATGACACACAAGACGTTAACCCTGCACATATGATCCCAGCACATTGGGGAAACAAGGCATATATATGTATGACGATGTATCTGTGATGGTCAGATCCAGGGATTCCAGGTAAATCGGGAACTGACCATCTCTTGGATGGGTTGGTATTTGGAATATGTAGAGATGTTTATTTGTGCAGGTACCCATACAGAAGGGATTCTGTCCCAAACAAATGGACGAGCACTCTCAGGCTCCAGGTACCAGCACCTCTGAACTACCAGAGACAATTGATATGAGTAGTTGCATTGCATATAGACTGTTGCATATATGTTCAAATGGTTCAGGGCACATGACAAACCATGTGGCCCAATACAACTTACAAATAACGTACTCACCATCTGTACACACCAATGCATTTTCAAAACTACTGACTCATCACCCTTCCAGACTTGTAGTAGATTTACTAAAGCTCTGGAGCTTCAAAGGGCTCCCATACAGGTATCATAAACACACCTTCAGGGAATATAGCATGCCCTCACTTACAGTCAGCACAACAAAACCATTGGCTGTAAACACACTCATAGCCAAGATTTGCAGAGGGGTCTTCCAATCTCCACCATTTACAGCATGGCACCAAACACACACATTGGTATTGTCACAAGGAATCTTCTCTTAAACAAAGACTAACCATAGACTTATTGGCACCACACACCTCCGCTACCCCAAGTCTCAACTCCCTCATACCCTCCGAGGATTTTTCTTACTATACAACACCGTTGATCTACCTTTACAGCTATCACTCAAGGGTTAAAGCTTGGTTAAGTAAGACCAATATCATCAACGCAGTAAACGGCTACCATCTACCCTACACACTGGCACTTACATGGCATAAATTGGGCAATCCTTTCCCTGCTCAAGTTTCGAGCTACAGATTAGCCTACTATCGTTATTCGCAGATACTCTGTGCTGGTTATGATAACATATCCAGAGGCATTACAGTCATACACTATCTAGAAGACTTCTTGTTGCTAAAAGAAAGCATATTTTTCACTAGAAGCCTCATGGCAGCTTAGTCTGGTTGACCACTTGGGCGTCCCAGTACCCCATAAGAAACAGAAGGAGCAGACACTATCATCACATTACTGGGCATATGACTTGAGTCGGCATCCATACACGCAAGTTACCACAAGACAAATAGGGAACATTCTCAACTAAATCAATCACTACCTCCTGCTTAGTACTTACAACTACAAGGAACTACAATCCCTACCAGGTTCCTTAATTTTGCCATGCCAATCATACCTCAAGACCACGCTTTCACATCCAGAGTACTTTCCCCTTTTTTCCACACTTCCAACATGACGATCAGAGGAGGTGCCTAGACACCTCAGCAACAGCAGACCTGCACATGGGGGGGGATTTCTTAACCACTTGGCATGGTAAAAGCATGTTCCTTCCAGGATTGACTGACACTTCTCCAACCAGATGGTCAGACGCAGCGTATACCACTGGTTTGGCAGCGATCTACCGGGACCAATTGCTTTGGAGCTGTTGGCCATGGCATCCAGGTTTGGAAATTTTTCCACCACTTCAGCCCCTTTGGGAGATCTACCCCATTGTAGCAGCTGCTGTGGCATGGGGTAAATCATGGTCAGGGTCATCAATTCCGTTGTTACTCAGACAACTAAGCACATATCATATCATCAACAAACGCCACTACTCATCCATAAGTTCATGATGTTTCTGGGGAACTCACTTGGTTGGCCACTTATCACATTTCACTTTCATGTACCAGACGGGGGTATACATCCCTACCGACAACTGTCTCATTTATATTCCAGGCATGTTCATCATACGCTTCCTACAGCCGCCCATACAGTCACGTCCACTCTTTCGTTCCAGAGACAAAATCATGGATTAGACATACTCATGCAGCATAGCATGCACTATCCCACCTAGCACTTTCGTCCCATACTTGTAGAGCGCATAACACAGCTTTTCACCTGGCTTAAAGAATCTCATTGGAACACGACATAGCTCAACCTGTGTCATAACATTTCTCCTAGGTTTTGCTTCATTTTTTGCCACCTTAAACTAAAACCATCTCACACACCATTAATTATATATTTTACAGGCATTCAACAACACAGGATAACCAATGGCCAAAACTACCATAACTTCATGCTATCATACCAGACAAGAATATACTCAGAGGTTTTCAGGAATCCGTTCCCCCACGTTCCTCTCAGAGATTACCAATATCCATCCAACTTTTCATCCTTATCGGACCTATTAGATCTACAACCATTCAATTATACTACCAAGTCGACCATTACCAGCCATGCACATTGCCTTTTATGCCTTTCTCAGGCCAGAGAATCCACTACCATCACCACCACTCAGACAGATCATTGTCTTCAACGATCCCACATACGTAAACACATATATCATTACCTATTGGCTCTACCACATTCCGAAATGAGTCAACATGCACCAACAGTAGAGATAACATACTATCCTACCCACAACAAATGGTGCCCACTTTCGGTCCTAGATTCCTACCTTCAAAATCCTTTCAGGAATTAAATACTGTAATACATTTAAGGAAATGTCTGGTTAATTTGTATATATTTGTTGACTGTATTAAATCTTTGATTATTCATTTTTGCCCTCTTTATTTACAGGCCTACCGTATCGTCGGTATCGGCGCACCACAACCGACTTGCTCCCTTTACACTATCCTAAGCTTATGCTGGATCCTTACTCCATATACGGCTATTTTGCCCCTTACACAAGTATTAAGGCAGTTTGCCTGTATTTGTGGGAGGGGCTTAAATTAATTCACTCCCCTATATAAGGGACACCCCTTACCTGACTCATATCGCTTGAGGTCAGCATCAGAATGACCCTCCCACCCACTCCTCATTTCAACACTTTCTCTTTGCTTTCCATTTACTTTACTTTCTTACTCCTTGGTGGGCCCTCTTTATTTACAGGCCTACCGTATCGTCGGTATCGGCACCCCACAACCGACTTGCTCCCTTTACACTATCCTAAGCTTATGCTGGATCCTTACTCCATATACGGATATTTTGCCTCTTACACAAATTTATATATATATATATATATATATATATATATATATATATATATATATATATATATATATATATATATATATATATATATATATATATATATATATATATATATTGATATATACGTATATATTTATGTATGTAGATATATATATTATTTCGTTCTACGTGTATTTTGATATAAATATATATATTAATATCACAATACAGTTAGAACGAAATAACACACATCTATATATTTTTTAATTAATTTTTTAAAATTATTTTTATTTTATTTTTTAACGTATTTACATATTTAATTTTTTTATATTATATATATATATAAAATATATATAACAATAATTATATATATATATTTAATCAGTATCAGTCTACGTGTAATTTGATATTAATATATATATGTATATGTATATAATTATATATATTAATAGTAAAATACACCTAGACGGTGTACGTGTGTGTGTATATATATATATATATATATATATATATATATATATATATATATATATATAGTGACGAGACCAATCTCGCCACATTGCATTGGAGAAGCCTGGTTGCTCGCCTGCTGCCTTTGGACTATGGCCCCCTTTTAAAAAGACTTTATTTTTGCATGCAGAAAAGCTGTATTCGTGCTTTTCTGCCGGTTGTTCGGTAGTTTCAATCTACCGAACAACCGTACGAATGACTGGACCACCTGGGAGCTGGAGTGGGCTGGCAATTAACCTCCCTGAAGCTGCGGTTAACCGCAGCTTAATTGATGAACGCTGGGTGGCCGCCATTCGTATCCCAAACACGAGGTCGCGGCCATTTTAAACCACACGAATGAACAGCGGTGTTCGCCTCTATTTTCATGGAACTAAAATCGGACACAGTTTTGCGCGAACACTGCTGAAGCCGCCGACCTCCCTTCTTGTTCGGTGAAAGTGCACGAATGGCCCGGTGTTCGGTATTTTTGTTTGAATGTCTTATACCCCAGATAGGAATCCCATGGAGCCCATTCGTATGAAACTGACTGTAAAGACTTTGGCTCCATGGCGATTAAACTGCATTCGTGTGGTCTGAGTGCCATTCACTTAATAATGTGCACTCAGACCTGAGCTATCTGGGGATATGTTACATGTCTGTGTTTTGTGTAGTAAATGTTACTTTGTGCATTTTAAAGTATAATGCTGGTTTTGTGTCCCCACATGTGTAATGGAGTTTTGCCTTTGTCTTGGGAGATAATTGAGTTACTTCACAATTATCTCCCAGGGCAGAGGGGAGGAAGCCAGGATGCATTGTGGGAATATACTGTGACTGTGTGTCCTATTTGTATACTTGTCTGTCCCTTGTCACAGTCTCCCATTTGGTCCCCTAGGGGAGTGTCCACCAGGTGGGAGACCTGCATAAAAGCCGGGCAGGTAGCCCTCATTAAACAGACCACTGCTGGACCCTCAACACGGAGCTCTGTCTCGTCTTTGGGGGGGATTTACTGTATGCTGCTAAGGACTGATTGCCAGGAGTGTAAGCCGCTTGGGAGCTTTTCCTGTTCGTCTGGTAGCAGCAATTCGTATGGTTCCTGTTCGTGTATTTGGAGTGCTACCTTATTCCCTTGTATGCCGTTCGGGAGTTTGGAGCATTCACTTGTATGCAGTTCGAGTGTTTGGAGCATTCCTTGTATGCAGTTCGAGTGTTTGGAGCATTCCCTTGTATGCCGTTCGGGAGTTTGGAGCATTCACTTGTATTCAGTTCGTGAGTTTTGGTGATTCTACAGTAGCTGTGCCTGTCTCTGAAAGGGGATTATCGTCTAAGCGGTTTTTTCCCCTTTTGTGAAAAACGGTCCGATAGATAGATAGATAGATATAGATATATAGATATATATATATATATATATATATATATATATATAATTTGTTTTTTTGTTTTTTTGTTTTTTTTACACTAATACATTTTATTTCTATTTTATTTCCAGCCAGCAGGGGGACCACCCTGCTGGCAATACAGAAGCCAGCTATCCCCGGCCATGTGATTGTGGGGTCCTCGCTAGGACCCCACTCTCACATGGCCGGGGGGCTTCGACGAGGATGGACGTGCCGCTGGGGGCTAATTGTACGCCCTACGGTCTAAAGGGGTTAAACTCAGGACAAAATTTTGAATCTATTTAGCAGTTTTTTTCATTCGCTTTTGAAGACGAGTAAAAGATTTTTCAAGTAAAAGTAAAAAAACATGTATTTTTTTTTTTTAAATTAAATTACATGAGATTATATAAATAATGGTATGTAAAGAAAGCCCCTTTTGTCCTGAAAAAAAAAAATATAATTTGTATGGGAACAGTAAATGAGAGAGCGGAATACTACAGATAAACACAAACACCACAAAAGTGTAAAAATATGCCTGGTCGCAAATGTACAACATCGCAAAAACAGTCCAGTCCTTAAGGGGTTAATCACTTAAAAACATAAAACAGAACTTAGTACAAAACTGTTGGATACAATAATAAAAGATAAGAAAATTATTGCACTCACAAACGGTCGCCACTAATAGTGGCCAGAAAAGCACATCAATAGTTCAATTGACCTATGGAGTCCTTGTGTGGCAGGTCATTCGACCTAATATAGCACACCACACCATCCCCCGGATTAACCCCCAGTCTCCCCGGATTAACCCCCAGTCTCCCCGGATTAACCCCCAGTCTCCCCGATCCCCCAGTCTCCCCGATCCCCCGGATTAACCCCCAGTCTCCCCGATCCCCGGGTATTTCCGGTTCGGGTTTTATCGCCGTATTTACTCACATCTCGCTTGACATCCGCCATTTCCTCGTCGCTGAGTTTTTGCAGCGGGTTCAGCGCCATTTCCGGGTCCCAGGAGCTGACACTCTAATGGCGACACAGTCAGGTGATCTCAGTCACTTCCGGGTCTGACGTCATCAGCAGACACTTCCTCAATGCTCTGCACCCACCCAGCACAATGCTCTGCACCCAGCACAATGCTCTGCAACCACCAGCACAATGCTCTGCACACAACCAGCATAATGCTCTGCACCCACCCAGCACAATGCTCTGCACCCAGCACAATGCTCTGCAACCACCAGCACAATGCTCTGCACCCAGCACAGTGCTCTGCAACCACCAGCACAATGCTCTGCACCCAGCACAGTGCTCTGCAACCACCCAGCACAATGCTCTGCACCCACCCAGCACAATGCTCTGCACCCAGCACAATGCTCTGCACACAACCAGCATAATGCTCTGCACCCACCCAGCACAATGCTCTGCACCCAGCACAGTGCTCTGCAACCACCAGCACAATGCTCTGCACCCAGCACAGTGCTCTGCAACCACCCAGCACAATGCTCTGCACCCAGCACAATGCTCTGCACCCACCCAGCACAATGCTCTGCAACCACCCCTTTTATTATGCAACCACCCAGCATATTATGCAGCAACCCAGCACAATATGCCACCCAGCACATTATACTTGCACCCACCCCAGCACAGTATGCGGCAAAGCACAGTATACTTGACACAGTATGCACCCACCCCAGCACAATGCTGCGGCAAGCGCAATGCTCACCCAACACAGTAATAACACGACCACCCAGCACATTACTGCCCGCAGCAATATACCCAACACAATGCTCTTGCACCCAGCACTGTGCGAGCATAATGCTCTTTGCCCACCAGCTTTTATTATGCCGCAGCCACCCCAGCTTTTATTATACCCACCCCAGCACACATGCGCCCAACCAGCGCATAGTATATGCACCACCCCAGCATAGTAACACCCGGCACATTATACTTGCACCCAGCCGACGCCATTGCTCTTGCCACCCGGCATAGTAATAGCCACCAGCCTGATATGCCACCCACCCAGCCTGATATCTTACCCAGCCAGAAGCGCAGTATACTTGCAACACAGTAACTTTCTGCAGCAACCCAGCTTTATTAACCATGCACCCAGCACAATGTTCTGCAACCACCCAGCACAATGCTCTGCACCCATCCAGCACAATGTTCTGCATCCAGCATAATGCTCTGCACCCACCCAGCATAATGCTCTGCAACCACCCAGCACAATGCTCTGCACCCACCCAGCACAATGCTCTGCAACCAGAAAGCACAATGCTCTGCACCCAACACAATGCTCTGCAACAACCCAGCACAATGTTCTGCAACCACCCAGCACAATGCTCTGCACCCACCAAGCACAATGCTTTGCACCCACCCAGCACAATGCTCTGCACCCAACACAATGCATTTCCTGCTGCTCTATTACATTGTCTGCCTACCTTTAAGTCATCAGAAATAATCACCCCTAAATCCCTTTCCTCAGATGTTGAGGTTAGAACTCTATCAAATATTCTGTACTCTGCCCTTGGGTTTTTACGTCCAAGATGCATTATCTTGTACTTATCCACATTAAATGTCAGTTGCCACAATTCTGACCATTTTTTCTAGTTTACCTAAATCATTTGCCATTTGGCTTATCCCTCCTGGAACATCAACCCTGTTACATATCTTAGTATCATCAGCAAAAGACATACCTTACCATCAAGACCTTCTGCAATATCACTAATAAAAATATTAAAGAGAATGGGTCCAAGTACAGATCCCTGAGGTACCCCACTGGTGACAAGTCCAAGCTTCGAATATATTCCATTTACTACAACCCTCTGTTGCCTGTCACTCAGCCACTGCCTTACCCATTCAACAATATTGGAATCCAAACTTAAAGATTGCAGTTTATTGATAAGCCTTCTATGTACAACAGTGTCAAAAGCCTTACTGAAATCTAGGTAAGCAATGTCTACTGCACCACCCTGATCTATAATTTTAGTTAGAAGAAGGATGTCCAGACAGTAGATACCCTTACTCTATAGGGGTAACCGTCACATTTGGTGGCAGCGGTGGAATGGTCTTTCTACCCCAGGAGCCGTGCAGGTCGGATGGAAAACCGGTATGAGCAGCTAAAAAGGGCCAAACCCATCGGAGGAGCGGATTACTCAGATTTTTGCTGAGGTAGCAGCGGAAGCTCAAGAAAAGAGGGAATACGAGCTGTGGCGAAACCGGCCTCGCCACGTGTCCTTGGAGGGGGCTGCTTGCCCGCCTCTTGCCTTTGGACTATGGACCAGACCTTATGTGAATGTGTTATACCCCAGATAGGAATCCCATGGAGCCCATTCGTATGAAACTGACTGTAAAGACTTTAGCTCCATGGCGATTAAGCTGTATTTGTGTGGTCTGAGCGCCATTCACTTAATAATGTGCGCTCGGACCTGAGCTATCTGGGGATATGTGAAATGTCTGTGTTTTATGTATAAATGTGACTTTATGTATTTTAAAGTGTTTTGTGTCTTTTTGCAACCATGTGCTTAATGGAGTCTTGTGTCTATCCTGGGAGATAATTGAATTACTTATCTCAGGATAGAAGACTCTGAAACTGGTTTGGGCCAGAAAGCCATGCTTCATTTAGTCACAAAGGACTTTTTACTAACTTTTGAACCCCTTGTCTGATTTGTGCCATTTTTTGAATATGTTGTTCCCCTGAATGGATTGATTGTGAATATGTAATTTTATGTGAATGTGATGTATGGTTTTGGAGTTATGAAAGTTGGGTAGAAAGTATGTTTTAACTGTATGTATAGTGAGTTTCTCTCCTTTGGGATAAAGGGGAGGAATATGTGGGATGTAACTTTGTGATGTGATTGGTTTGTTTGTAACGCCTATTGGGCAGTACTATGTTTGTGGATTGAGAATAAAAGAGGCTGTATGTGCCAGTACAGGCAGTTCTGCTTGACGTCAAAACAAAGTGTCGTCTCGTTATTGGGGAATTGGATTGTATGCTGATTGCCAGGAGTGTAAGCTGATTGTATGCTTTTCCTGTTCAGCTGCTTACAGCATTCACATGCTTGAGAGCATTCGTATGCTTCTCCGGTTCGGTGGTTGTGGTGTCTGCTGCAGTGCTTAGAGTCCTCAGGAAGCGCTAGGAGCATCCTTTAACGGAGGTACTCAGTCGGGGTGCCAGTCGATCCGTTACAGGTACCACCAGATTCTGTGTGGACTACCTCAAGTTAAATGACAGAATGGTGACTAATGCATGCAAAATGTTGATAGGGACTAGTTCTGATTTCCAGATGTACAATGTACTAACGTGTGTGAAATAATCTTATACAGTGAGCAGCGAAACATTCATATGACTCCTTACAATATCACCAACAAGGTATATAAACAGAAAAAAGAAAATGTAGCGCTTTTATAAGTAAATGAATTATCACCTTTTGGTTTGATTAGGAGGAAAAATCTCAATTTAGTGTCAGATAGGTCGATATCTATAAAAGATAGTCAAACATAGTGTAGATAGTACATAATAAAGGGATGTCAATATTTGCAATGTATACACACTCACAAACAGAAAGCTGCGGACCCAGCTCTGGTTTAAATCGCTTCTGGGTCCGTGTAGGCGACCCACCCCTACTATATCTTGTCCTGAAGGAAGATAGATACACAAAAAATTTGCGCAGTATCGCTTGTAATAATAGAATTTAGAACAGAATTCCCAAGTGGGTACTTAAAAGCAGGGAGTCTAAAGTGACCATAGGCGTGCGCAGCCTATTGCACAAACACACGCCGCATGTATATATGTGTGTGTGTATGTATGTATATATATATATACATACATGCACACACACATACACTTCTGTGTGTGCTGTTAGTGTGATGTGTGTGTGAGGGTGCTGTTAGTGTGATGTGAGGGTGTTTGTGTGTGTGTGTTTGTAACTGTGCTGTTTGTGTGTGAGGGTGTTTGTGTGTGTGTGTGTTTGTCTTGTCAGGGTGCTGTTTGTGTGAGTGTTGTGTATTTGTGAGGGTGCTGTTTGTGTGTGTGTGTTTGTGAGGGTGCTGTTTGTGTGCTGTCTGTGAGGGTGTTGTGTTTTGGAGGGATTGTGGAGGTTGGGGCAAATTAGTAAATCCTTGCTGCCATGTGCTATCCCTGGTGGTCCAGTGGAGAGTGAACTCTAGCCTGTGGTGCTAGAGTTAACTCTCGCAAGATCTGAGCGTTGCCGCGGCAATGCTCAGATATCGCGAGAGGAACCTGGCCGAGCTTCTGTCTAGAGCTCCTTGGGTCCTCTCCTGCCTCCCTCCATGCTGCTGTGGGCTGGTGAGATAGATCTTTGGTCTCCCCGCCGGCCCATGGAGGCTTAGAGCAGAGCCGGCACGCAGATAGCGCCGGCTCTGCGTGAGCCGACTCGGGAGACACACACATACACTCACAGACACACACTCACTCACACACAGACACACACACATACACTCACACACATACAGACACACACACACATTCACAGACACACACTCACACAGACACACATTCACAGACACACACACACACACATACAAATTATTATATTTTAATAATAAAATGTCCACCCAGCCTCCCTACCTGGAGTGCTGGTGTGGACTTGTCCCTGGGGTCCAGTGGGGCGGGCGCCTCTCTCCATCTCAGCCGCGGCGAGGGAGCACACAATTCCCTCGCCATGGCTGAGATGGAGATAGGGGGGATCCATCAACTCTTGCCCCCCCCATGAAGGAGCAAGAGGTGAGTGCCTGCAGGAACAGCGTTCCAGCTCAAAAAAAAGTGCAGGAACACTGTTCCTGCAGGACTCAAAACATAGGCGTGTCAGGGGGATTAGGGTGTGCCCAGGCTCAAGTGACTCAATATCTGAGCGTTGTGCAGGTTAGGGACTGCACGCCCCTATGCAGAATGACGAATTCGGGAACCAGGATGAACAATGTTAAAATAAAATAAATTTATTCATACAATCTATAAAATAAAAATGGCACAATGTCCAAATAAAACCGGAACGCGTTTCGACACTGTAACGTGGCTTCTTCAACCTGATCAGTAAGCTGAGTAAATTAGCTCTTGGATCACATAGCCAGGGGACACTATCTAACCACCATTGACCTCTGTAAAGGTT